CGGCAAACCTTCCATTTTGTTTTTGGCTTTGCAGGGTTTGGAGAAAGAGCAAGGAGAAGAGGACCTGAAGCAACAGCTGGCCCAGGCTTTGCAGGAGGTAACTTATCTCTTGCCATTGTGGGCTGTGGAGTGGGGGAAGTCAGGCTTTGCGTGGCCACTGGCTGCCTCTGCTGGTTAGCGCACACTTCTGCGGCACCTCCAGTCTGTAGATAGAGCAGGTGGCAGCTGTTCATACCATCAGGTCAGAGATTGGAACCTCACAGACATGCCAGACCTCAGCATGAAAACTCACATCTTCATCTGAGCAGAAGCTGCTTTAGTGAAGATGGAATGGAGCCTGTAGCAATTAGGAGGCTCTGGGGAAATGGCTGCATTCCCAGAAAGGTGAGGGCAGCAGAGGGGATTGCAAGCTAGGACTTGGCCACCACCAAGGCCTGCAAGGCCTCCATTCCCTCGCCGTTCCTGAGCTGAAGCTGTCCAGAAACCATTGGAGAATGTTCCAATTAAGCATTTTAGGTCAGGTAGAGAATGTGCAGTTTAACAGCAGAACATATTGAGTTACTGAAAGGGCAGGGCTCACAGGAATAAAATTCTCCTAAAAAATAGCCTGTAATTTATTTCATTTAGCTTGACTAGTTCTCTCATCTGATTATTTTTATAAACACTTTTTTACATCTTTAAACCTTGCTTTATCTTCTGTCCTGTTTGATGCAACTTTAGTCAGCATAGTGGGATGGTTCATGGCCATGTCTCCTTGAAAAATTGAGTGATCACATTTGAGTTTGTTTAGGATAATTTATCCTTAAAATTCTTTTATTGCATACCTGCCTCCCAGTCTTCTTACAGTACTAGCAGTCACATATCATTAAAAGCTTGGGAGGTGCCTGCCTTGATTTCCTTTAGGGGTGCACAAACAGCTTTGGAAAAGATTAGGTGAAAATTCAATTTTTAAAAAAAATTTTATTTTCTAAGTTTGTTTATTTTGGGGGGTGGGGGTAGGCATGTTTCCCATTTAGAGCATTATTAAATTACTATTCGGATACTGTTTTGAAATTGACTGGGAAAGAGTAAGGTTCTGCTACTTGGAAATCCCTGAGGGATCACTGAGTACTCCATACCCACAACTCCTTACCCTCTCCTGAGGCAGACAGGGAGACATTTTCAATCAGCATAAGGTACTGGGCCAGTGGCCATTCATTAGCCTCAGATTGGATACTCTTAGGTCATGGTTCTACAACAACGGGCCTGGCGACACAGCTCTCGCTCTCAAATGAAACATGGCTATACCTTTTGGTCTCTCTGAGGCTTTTTTTTTCCTTTTCATTTACCAGACCATTATAACAACTAGCATTTATGTAGAGCTTAAAAACTTTTCCGAATGCTTTCGTATCTGTTATTTTATTATTAACATTGATGTGGGAGAGGCATCTGTTTTCCCATTTTATAGATGAGTTACCACACACATCTGATTAGCAGTCAAGATGAATACCCAGGCTCTGGCTGGTTTGACTTAGTGGTTAGAGCGTTCACCCGAGGACTGAAGGGTCCCGGGTTCAAGTTCAGTCAAGGGCACATACCTTGGTAGCAGGCTTGATCCCCATCCCTGGTTAGAGCATGTGTGGGAGGCAGCCAGTTGATGTGTGTCTCTCACATTGATGTCTCTCTCTCTCTCTCTCTCTGTCTCTTCCCCTCTTACTCTCTCTAAAAAATCCATGGGAAAAATATCCTCGGGTGAGAATTAACAGCAACAACAAAAAAGCCCACTCTCAGTGCTGGGTAGCCTCAGAGTTACTTATTAGTTCTTGAGCATTGGTTTTAAAATCACTTGGGTAGCTTTTAAAAATGCACATTCCTGGGCCCCCAGTGACACCTGCAGAATCAGACTCCCTGGAAGGCAGTCCCTCAGTTGATCGCAATGGCCACGGAGGCTGGGCTATTTCCAGAGAGATTAATATTTCATGGCCTCCCTCCCTGTTTTTCCCCTTCCCTGGAAAAGCAGCAGGTAATTGAGATGTCCTGAAGGAACAAAGGCAAAGGCATTATTTTTAAATTGCCAGTCCATTGATCCCTTGAACTAATGCCACTGACAGAGCGGGTGAGCAGGCATTCGTGGCTAAAAGGCAGGATGTACTGTAGCCTGTCTTGAGTGTGGTTCTGCTATGTTTCTGCAGCATCGGGCTCTAATGGAGGAGCTAAACCGCAGCAAGAAGGACTTTGAAGCAATCATTCAAGCCAAGAACAAAGAATTGGAGCAGACCAAGGTACTAGAAAGAAGATGAAGGTTTAGAATTTGGTTAGTACATGCAACTCAGCATTTTCAACAGTACAAGGGTTGCTATGGTGAATGGAGAGAGAGAGTATATGGCTGTTCCTGGCCTCAGGGGAAATAACCTGTAAAATTACTCAGACCGATAGAAGGTTCTGCCTGTGAGACAACATCTGTTTTCTTCCCTCATGCGGAAGCGAAATGCTAGGGATAAGACACACACCCTGCCGTCTAGTCCATTGTCTATGGTAGATGCTCTTTCTGCCTGTCACGCCGACATAGGCTAAGGAATGCTGTAGTCAAAATAAAAGTAGTTCATCCTCATGTATTTATGTAATTTCCCACATCAAATCAGTGGAACTGATAAGTTAGGGGTTATTAACTCAAGTGCCCACCAAGGTCGGACTGGTATGGAAGTGAGTAAAGTGTCCTGTGAATACAAAGGTGCGTAGGAAAGGACCTTAGCCCCCACCTCCACCCCAAGAGGCAGCTGTGCTGCAGCAGTTGTTGCCATCCAGAAGTGCAAGCCCAGTGTTGTAAATCTGAGTTTTCCACAGAAGATAGAAACCCAGATGTTTGTGTATAAAAAGATAGAAATCCAGATGTTTTATGTATAAAATATCCCAATTTTTGAATATTGGCAACAAGTTCAGTTTTTTGATACCATAAGGGCCAAACTAAACAGGTCTGTAGGCCGAATCCAGTCCACAGTCCATCAGTTTTCAGCCTCTGCCCCAAAATCACTGCCGGAGCCCGGCTGTATCTCTCAGCCCACCCTTCCTCACATACAGCCCTAGAGCAAAGCACAGAAAGGAGACTGACTTTTCAGTTGGTTGGTAGCCTTATCTTCTGTTTAAATCACGTAGTACCATCTTTCCCAAACCTCCAAGAAACCACCATCTTTTAAATCCAACAACTCATACGTGTTCAGGGAGCTTGACTCTAGTCAGAAACGGGTCCAGACCTCCTTCACTGCCATAAGCAGGCTGATAGTCTTCGCTTTGATTGGAAGAAAAATAAAAGATGAAAAATAAGTCAGCTGCATTCTCCACGTGGCATTACTATCTCCCTCAGGGGCTCCTGATACTTTCTTTTTGGGGGATGAGGTGCTAACTTAAGTAAATGTCTGCTTCAAGAGTGCACACCTAGGACGCTTCCTAAAAAGGTTGTCCGCAAGTGCTCCGACCTCTTGGGGAAAGCACAGGGAAATTGCACTGCAGGCCTCTGCAGGAGTGGGACGTGGCAAGTATAGAGCATGGGGCCTGAAGATACTTCAAGAGGCCACCGTTGCAGCCTCCAGGGAGTATAGGGATTATCCCTCTGTTAAAGAAGAGACAGCTACAAAGAGCACAAGGGACCATATACACTAATTCAAGTTTCCTGCCCCTGTGGACTATTCTTTATGTCTTCTGTTTTGTCCAGTGAGTTTTTGGCTTTGGGGACGATTTTATATCACCTCTGAATTGCAGTTCGCTGTGAGATACTGAATGTCTCATTCTGGTCTTGGGTGGTTGGTGGGGTTAGTATGCTCCCTTCAGTTTTTCTCATTTGGTTAATTTGGGGAAGGATACAGAAACTACAAATACTGAAAAAGTGGAGAAGGGAAGGAGGAGGATGCCCCATGTTAGGAAGCAGTTCTGAGAAATAGTACCCCTTAGGGAAAGTGTTTTGTTTTCTGTGTTGCTCCGCCAGGATGAATTTTTAATTTAGACTCCTTCTGGATCCTATTCCAGATGATTAGCCCTGCCCCTTATCCTGTTTTGCTTTCTTGTTGGTCCTCCTGAATGACGGGCGGGGTTGTGTGTTTTTGCAGGAAGAGAAGGAGAAGGTGCAGGCACAGAAGGAGGAAGTTCTTAGCCACATGAATGACGTGCTAGAGAACGAGCTGCAGTGTATCATCTGCTCAGAGTACTTCATTGAGGTAATTATGAACACCGGCTCGCGAGCCTTGTTGCCAAACCGTGGAAGCCTCAGCTATACAGGCTGTGCTGCTGTAGGGGAACATTCTGAAGAGCTTTTTCTTGCAGGAACTTCTTGTAGCTATGTGACTTGAAAGTGACCTCTAGAGGTGGCTGCCTCTGATTTGTTTTTGTAGTCTTTAACTTTACTGTCCTTTTTCTTATTTCATTTGTTCTTTAGTAGTTGCTTGATATAATCAATATTTTTAGCTGCAGTAAAGCCTTTATCTCTTTGTTGTTGGGGAGAATACAGGGCCACATGGCATTAGATTTTTGAAGTGTCAGAATAAAGCTGCTCAATAAGGCTATTCTCCTTACTCAGAATGGGCACAGCGCTGAGAGTGGGCTGCAGTGCAGACTTTTAAACAGGGCGATAATGTCATTGATGTAGTCATTGACAGTTCAGCACACACGTGGAACCGGTTTCAGGGACTCCGGGGCTCCTTGTGAAAATGAAACATCTCCCTCCTAGGTTACCATTGGTTAACCTGTCATACTTTTGCACAAATTCTTATTTTTTGCTAATTCTACCATTTGTGACCAGTTCATGTTATACCACAACTTTAAATTCAGTGACAGTGCTTGTTAAATGACAGTGCTTTCCAGATCCCTTTATAAAAGAAATCACATACTGACACTGCTTCTTTTTTTCTGGTCTTAACAAGAGTGATTCTACCAGCCTCCTGAAAAATGTCTCCTGAGCAGACCTGTTTGTTTGCTCTGGATCCACTTTGACTTCAGGTCACAAATTTCCCCATAATTTCTAGTCATTTGATTCCCTTCTTAAGAGAAGCTCCGTTAGTGTTGTTTTCACAGGGTTATGGATTCTACCAGGGGAAGACAAGGAAAGGGGTCTTGGAACAGGGGACGAGTTAGCCAACTGGGGCCTTTGCACAGACAGACAAGGCAGACATTGTGACTTGTGTTTTGTTTACTGCATACCTCCTGACCTTTTCTACTATCAACTCTTAAAGTCAGTGTTGGAAAGAGGTTTCATTTTAATCGGACAGGTTTTTAGTGCCATTCATAAGAATTTACCTCCTATAGTAAACAGATTGTCTCCTAGTTGGCTTTCGGGGCTCAGCTTGGCATTTGAAACACGTAATTTCTGTGTTATCTTCCATTGCTATCCTAAAAGCAGGAATGAAGACTTTTGAGTCTCAGAAAAGTTGTGTCTTAGGAGATGTACATAAACAAGAGTAATGAAGAGAATGGTTTATATTCTTGGGAATGAAAAGCACCCAGGCACCCTAGCTGGTTTTGCTCAATGGTTAGAGCGTCAGCCTGTAGACTGAAGGGTCCCGGGTTTGATTCTGGCCAAGGGCATGTACCTCAGTTGCAGGCTCGGTCCTCAGCCCCGACTGGGGCGTGTGCAGGAGGCAGCCAATCTCGCCCTCGCCCCTGCTCCCTCCCCTTTCTGAAAAGCAATAGAAAAAATATCCTAAGGTGAGGATTCAGGAAGGAAGGAAGGAGGGAGGGAGGGA